GAGAGAGAGAGAGAGAGAGAGAGAGCAGCTTTTTTATGTAAGAAGTATTTGACAAACTTCTACTTTATTCACAAATAAGGAGAAGAATAATGGATGTTTTCCTAACACAGTCAAAAGTACCAGACGTGTAGTAAGTGTTCTTACCATAAGAAAGCCAAATATATCTTTTGATGGTAGACTGAAACACAAAACACATGGAGTCAGTCAAGGGAGGGGTTCCTCCACAGGATCTGTGTCACCCCAGTATGATGATGGTAGTCTTCCCTATGCTGAGGTGTAGTAAGAATACTCGTACTCTAAGAGTTTTGGATCAATGTCACAAATGTCTCTGACATGTACCACAGATTTGGCAGAGACAAAGTAACACTGTCGGACTGCACAGCCACCTCTCCATCAAGACCTACACCCCTTCCCAGAACAGCTGGAGATGCTGCTTCAGGGACTGATGGTCCCAGCAATGCTTTAACCACTCCAGAGGGAATCACTATCCTACTGAAGAAAGGGGACATAACTGCTGAGAAGGTGGAGCCAAACATTTTATTTTCTTTCGTGAGAAGAGGAGAGGGATTACTGTTTTTCTTCTACAGTATCTATTGTTCATATTAATTGTAGGTCATCTTCATGAGCCAGTAGAATACAAAAAGCACAGCCCAAGGACATGACATCACTTGACCTTTGTTCCTCTCCAGGCCGATGTCCTTGTGAACACCACAAGCAATGACCTTGACCTTTCCCAGGGCGGTGTTGCGAAAGCCTTTGGTCAGGCTGGAGGACAAGAACTACAACAGGTGGGCTGATACATGTATTCTAATCTTTAGCAAATGGATGTAGCTGTTATGCTGTATTTAACAATAAATATCAGCTACTAAAACTTTTTGTGGTAGTGTTCAGCACCAAGGACAGGCTCAATCCACATTTACTGCACCATGTTCATTCTTGTTGCAAAAGTCATATTTGCAGACTTTGAATTTTATTTTGCTAAACTTGTTATCATGTGATACCGGTAGAGTTCAGCACCAAGGACAGGACCGGTGTAAAACCACAGTTACTGAACCGTGCTCATACCTTTACTTACATTTGCACGCTCGTGAATTTTATTTAGTAACAAACAACTCTCTCTCAAATTGTCTGATGTAAAAAAACCTTCATTGAGTAATATTTTAATATTAAAAATGTACTTTTCAGCTCTGTAAGGACCATGGCAAGGCCGATGCAGGAGATGTAGTGATTACCCAATCTGCCGGGACCCTCAGGTGTAAAGAGGTGTACCATGGTGTCCTACCCCACTGGCAAGAGTCTGACCAGGTAACTTTAAACACTCCATGTCTGTCTTAAAACTTGTACAGCTGTGACTGTGGTACCATGAACTGCATTGGAGTCCCATATATGAATGACAATTATTAATTTATCTTGAATAATCCACCAGTGGATGTGGTTCCAGGGCTCATTGACTAAGCAAGCCAATCTGTGTGTTACTGATAGATGAACAAATTGAACGAATGAACCAATGGGGTTGGGTTGTTGGTTGGTTGGTTGGTTGGTTGGTTGGTTGGTTGGTTGGATGGATGGATGGATGGATGGATGGATGGATGGATGGATGGATGGATGGATGGATGGATGGATGGATGGATGGATGGATGGATGGATGGATGGATGGACAGAATTGGATATTGTTATTAGTTACAATTTTCCCTCAGTGATTCACAAGCTCTTTTAAGGGCATGAGGAATGAATTTTGAAGTGATTTTCCTCTTTATCTCCCCAGCCCCTAAGAACGATGGTGCAGGAATGTCTGGAGTCAGCTGACAATGACGGTCACACCTCCATTGCGTTTCCTGCCATGGGCACAGGGAACCTGAAGTACCCACGTGGACTGGCTGCCAGCTGCATGTATGATGAGATCCTGTCCTTCAGCCAATCCAACCCTGGAACAACTCTCAAGGTACCAGCAATCTCTTGATAGTTGAAGGAAGTTTCTAGCTGTTATAGTTTTTATAACTATCTATGCAGTGATAAGTTATAAAGTTAAAATAGGATATCTAGGACTGTTTTTTTTCACCCTGTAGCTTCTTATTTTATCTGAAAAAATCCAAGAACCAACAGATTTGACTGGTGTTCCCTAAGCTGTCTAGTCTCTTTTGAGTGATGTTCCTCTTCATATCTTCTCTAAAATGTCCTCTGCTCCCAGGATGTGAGGATCATTGTGTTTGACCAGCCAACAGTCCAGGCTTTTGAAACAGAGCTGAGGGTCAGACAGGGGGTGCCGGGAGCAGCCAAAGGTGGGCAATAACCTGTTGTAACCTCCATTCACATCCACTCTGACATACATGTATATGCACCACTTTGAAAAACAGTGTGTTTGACAGATCTCTAGTGCAGCACACTCAAGAATGCACAGATATACAGGACTGCATTATATGGGAGGTAAATATATAAAATCATTAACCTGACCTTATGTTGATATCAATCAATTAGTGACATTTTTCCTTGTAACTTTGTGGTAGTAGATCAATTTTCAACTGAAATTGTCACTAACTTTTGTAAGCATGTCTTTTCCTTTATTTGAAAGATCGTCATCATGTCATGAAATGTACTGTGGTATGTTGTATGATAATGTATATAGTTACACAATATGTTTATGACTTACAAAAAATTTGTAATGATTTCAAAGTTCTGGTGTCCTTCCAAATGCAAATGATCCAATTTTTTTAAGTTCCTTTTTCACAAGTGTTGACTAGTTCTGACAGTTCATTCTAGTCATGCTATAGAAGTGTGATGGATGTCACTCAAAATATCAGGACGTAATCTCCATATTTTATCCCAGTAGTTAAGTTTGAATTGCTTAAACAAAATGTATGGTTCACCTGGATGTCTAATCTTCACAGGTTCAGGTCCATACTCTGCAGTGACCACCCCCAAGCCTGGTCAGCAGCAGATGACCATTGGCAGTGTGACTGTCCAGATTCAGGGAGGTGACCTCACCACTGAGAATGTGGACTGTATTGTCAATGTTAGCAGCAAAGATTTAGGTAATCAAATCATCTTCATGCAATATACCTGTTTTAAAATTAAAGTTAATCCAACTTCAAGTGCAGAATTAGTGAAACTATGTGGCATTTTACTGGTCACCAGGTACACAATGCAGACTTTTAAATCCAGGGACTAGCTTTGGTAGACTTAAGTATATTATAATCAAATCAAAACTGCACACGTACATCTATACTATTGCAACAAACATGCTACAGCTATGTATACAATAGTCCATTTGTAAAAATGATGTTCTTTGCTCTTACCTTCCACAAGTAATATCACAGGTATTGACATAATGGTAGGAGCATATTTACTGCCATTACAGGCCTGACATGAGATATCGTATTGCTTTCAACTTCAGTTGTAGCGAGAACCACTACCACTGATTACTGAGTTATCTACTATACTCAACACAAGTCAGATTTTTAACTATACTATGTAATAGAAAACAAAAACATGTTCCATGACACATAAATTGGATATCTCAAGAAATATTTCGGAATATGATTGTGTTTCCATGCAGATTTAAGTGGTCCCATGGCAAAGGCTATCTGTCAGAAGGCAGGACCCAGTGTAGCGACAGAGTGTCAACAGTTCATCAAAAAGAACGGGCAGCAGGACCATGGGGCTGTGGTATTGACAGGTTTGTTTCCTGGCTACTGATTCTCTATTTAAACATGTTTGTAACAATGAATATCGGCTACTAACACTTATTGTGATAGCGTTCAGCACCAAGGACAGGACCGGTGTCAAACCACAGTTATGACGGGGTTACATTTGACCATAGCTACACTAACACTTGTTGTGATAGCGTTCAGCACCAAGGACAGGGCCGGTATCAAACCACAGTTATGGCGGGGTTACATGCGACCATAGCTACACTAACACTTGTTGTGATAGCGTTCAGCACCAAGGACAGGGCAGGTATCAAACCACAGTTATGGCGGGGTTACATTTGACCATAGCTACACTAACACTTGTTGTGATAGCGTTCAGCACCAAGGACAGGGCCGGTGTCAAACCACAGTTATGGCGGGGTTACATGCGACCATAGCTACACTAACACTTGTTGTGATAGCGTTCAGCACCAAGGACAGGGACGGTGTCAAACCACAGTTATGGCGGGGTTACATCCGACCATAGCTACACTAACACTTGTTGTGATAGCATTCAGCACCAAGGACAGGGCCGGTGTCAAACCACAGTTAATGCACAATTACTAGTAACAAACCATTCTCTTTGATTTTTGGAGAAATTTCATATTAAATGTACTTTGAAGCTCTGTAACAACCATAAATGGGTACCAATGCTCCCTCAGGTTTACATTTAGTGAGGTTATCTCAGAATCTTCTAACAAGTTTCATGTGTACAGTATTTGCTTTTCTAACTTCGTGTTGACATTATTTCCTATTTTCAGATTCCTCTAGTAGTGACAAAGACCTTTTGCTGACCATTGAGGAATTAAATGATTTTCAGCACCAAGGACAGACCCAAATTTTAAATTAAAAGGATTTTATCACATTGTATGTACCTTTTTCATCATCTCCAGGTGCGGGTAAGCTGCCATACAAAGGCATTCTCCACCTGACACACCCCAATGCAAATGTCCTCAAGAAAAGCATCAAGACCTGTCTCCAGGTGGCTGATAAGAGAGGCTTCAAATCGATCGCTTTCCCTGCAGTTGGAACAGGTAGGTACAGAACTGAATGTGTGAGGCCTGATTTGAAATATTTGTTTAGTCAAAATGCTGACTAAAAAGAAATCCCTCAAAACAATCTTCCTGTCTAAAATAACTTAATGGTGAAAATGCACTAATATCTAGACTGGTATTCATCTGTCTTTCCAATGCAATACAACACCAAAATTACAACATTTCCTTATCATCTCTAACAAAAATAGTATTACTCAATCTCAGAATCTGGGGAAAATGTATGTTATTTTTCGTGACAGGAAAAAGTAGAGAAATAAAATATAACGGATGCTATCTGAAACATTTGACTGTTCATAGAATCTATCCAATTTTTTTATTTATCTTGTATTACGTAATGTTCTACCAGAATGTGTTTAACCTTCATTGACATAGATGTTTCCTATCTTTCCAAGGTGGATTTAAAATCAGCCCTGACCAGGCAGCCAGTCTCATGATGGACGGGGTTGCAGACTTTGCCCAGCAGGGAGCACCCACCTCCCTCACCACAGTCAGGATCACAGTGTTCCAGCAGCAGATGCTGCAGAACTTCCACTCAGAGATGGACAGGAGGGCTCAGGGCTTGGGACACAAGACCAAGAGGTTCAGTGCAGTCAAAAGCAGGTTCAAAAGTAAGAACTCATGTATACATTATCCTTTCATTTTAAGCCTGATCCTTTGTCCTACAAAGCTAGACAATATACTACTTTTTGATTCCATTCATATATTACATAATTATGTTTGAATGAAAAAATTGTGGTCCCTTCAGTTTTCATCAAAATCACCAAAGAGTCGACAGATCTTATTCAATATGTATGATGGTTGAACAATGTTTTCTACATTTTTGTAAGTCCTGTACTCCCTAAGTTAAAATCATTTGCCTTAAATTTGTTTCATCCTCTGAGTTTTGGTTTAATAGATCAGATTTCATAAGATTGCATCAAAGATTGTGACTCAGTATATATAAAAAAAATAAAATAATTTTCCATGACATGTATTATCATTCTGTTCAATCCACAGTGAAAGGCTGCTTATGTCTATCTCTCAACTTGTTACACTTGTCTCTTCCAGAAGTTGCCCGTTCCCTTGGCAAAAAGAGTCGTGTGGCAAAGATCCTTGGATTAACCTCATTTGACGGGAAGCACAGTGTGGGGGACTCAGCATCAACACCCAAGCCTCTCCTTCTCCAGTTCTTTGGCACAGGCAGAACTGTGGGCGTGGCCAAGAAGAGAGTCCAAGAAACCATGGATGGAAACTTTAAGGAGGAGAAGATTGACGACCTTGCGGTGTTGCAGCTGTCACGTGATGAGGTGGACATGTTGAAGGTGTACGGACACCAGAACAGCGTGTCAGTCAAAGTTGGTGAGTGATCTATTTCAATGCAACATCTGTGACATTCAGTATTGTTGCAAAATGTGTACTTCATCTACAATGATTTTCAATCTCTTATCCAGTTGCCTCAATAACACTTTTTTGTATATCTCAATACCCGGATGTCTAATCTTCATTGACATATTTCATGGTTTATGTAAGATGTACTTGGGTTCAAGCTTTGTTTCTCAACTCTTGTAACTAAGGCTAAGAAGCTATATATTAATTAGATAGACAGCTGTAGTTCATGGAAATATTCATTTTGGGGTGTGATGTTTGTATGAATAATATGATTATCACTAAGGGGTGGCACTCAATATGTTGTCGTCAGTTGGTCCTCATTACACAAGAGATCATGCCTCAAACTACCAATTCTCTTGTTTTCAGGGTTAGGCAGCAGGTTAGAGTCAAGGTTAGAAAGATGTCCACTCTACAGGTTCAGTTTAATTTCTTATTCTCTGTGATCTACCTTCTAGACCGTCACTGCATCACTATCCAAGGCATCACAGACGTGACCACAGTTGTGAACAAAGTCTGGGAAGTCCTGCATGCCAAGAAAGAGGAGGCCAGAAAAATGGAGCAGGCTTTGTCTCTGCAGAAGGACATCTCATGGTGAGTGAAGAGACAGGACTCAACAACTCGTGAGACCATGTGGCATAATGGTTGCATGTTTGGCTCAGAACCTTAAGGTCCTGGGTTCAAATCCACCAACATGCCCTGATGTTGTGAAGTTTGGCAATGCACTTTACATAAATTTCCTCACTTCACTCACTGACAGGTGAAAATGAGCTTTGGATAGGATGTTTCATCACCCTTGCATACTCCAGGAAGAATAGCATGCACTTTATGTAACACTAATGAAAACTCTAATAAAACAAACAAACTTGTTTCTTAGGCTGCACCAAATTATCTACAATCATGTATGTAGTTCTAAGACATTTTTGCAAGTGAAAATAGAGCAAGGAAACAAAGTCATAAATACTCCATTAAACTGAGGTATAAACCTGATTCTCAGGCTTTGTTTTCATTATGTTTTTCAAGCAAGGAAACAAAGTCATAAGTACTCCATTAAACTGAGGTATAAACCTGATTCTCAGGCTTTGTTTTCATTATGTTCTTTCAGCTAAGCATATTTCTTTTAAAATCCAAGAAGCAAGGAATAATTTTGGCCCTACAATTTTAAAAGATGGGAAAGTTTTTCTGCTACCATAATCTGATCACCTCTGTGTAAAAGGTGTTCTAGATGAACTAATTTTCTCTGTACCCACTCGTGTGTTATCTTCAATGTATTGGATCATTCAACTTAAAACTGGTTTGCAAAGTAAGTACTGTTTGACCACTCTTTTCTGTTTTCTTTTCTTTTCTAACAGGCACTATGAGAAGCCAGATGGTACATATGCAGCCTTTGACCCCCTCATCAACTTACAAATAGAAGAAGCCTACAGGAAGAACAGGAAAGGGAAGGTTCAGTATGAGGATGATGTAGGTCAGTGTGAGATTGACTTCAGCACCATGAAGGAAAAGGCATCTGGACAGACATCAAATGTTCGCAGGGATGATCGGAAAGCTTCAGCAGGTGCGTTTTGAAATACATTTTCAATACAGATTATTTTCTCCTCATTGTGTAGTAAAAGTAATTTTCTACATCTGTACCAGTGTAACTACCCTTCTGTGTAACACACTATTTTAGACATTATACAAAGCTATGATATATTGAGTGCTTCATATATAGTCCACAGAATAGTCAGATTGGAATATACTTAGTTTGTATCACTTTTAGTAGTCCTTGACAATTGAAGAAGACTGTCAGTGTCCTCTTTTTATTTGGGGGGGGGGTGACCTCATGTGGTTTCTAAGTCTAAAAGTTCTGTAACTCTAGTCTCCTCTAAACTATTTTTCTTTGATCCTACAAAACAGTGACCAGTGCAGTTCCCTCTCACTGGGATCCTCAGCCGACAGACCCAAAGTCCAAGAAACCCAAGCTGTGCCACCTTGTGAAGTTAAAGTCATCCTCTACTGAGTACAATACTGTGAGCAGGAAGTTCGGGCTTGGAAACATTGTGAGCATTGAGAGGGTTCAGAACCCAACACTGTGGAGCCAGTACTGTGCACAGAAGCAGAAAATCAGCCTGAAGAACCCTGGAATGTAAGACAAAACTGTTTTCCCTTTGATTAAGGGTTTTTGTTTTGTTTATTGTCTTTTGCCTTTTTGCTCATGGCAATGCTATTTACCATAACATTAACAATCCTATTGTCCAAGATTTTTTCAAAGGGACTTCATGTAGTATTCTAATGGGGGGAAAAGTTCAAGTTGGACACAGAAATAAAAGTGCAGCATGTTCTTTGATTTACCTTGAATCATGTTCTTATAATCTATAACACGTTGAAACATCTTATAATCTAAAAACCTTTTTCCAGAAATATTGAGCAGGAGCTGTGGCATGGGTCCTCAGCTGATTCCTGTGTCAAGATTTACCACAACGGTTTCAACAGGAGCTATGCAGGTGTCCATGGTATGTGCATGTACCTCACTTTTTCTTTTGAATGTCAGAGAAATTCTGCACTATAAGTGCTACATGTACTACAGTCTGCTATTAATATTCAATAATTTCTTTGCTGCAGGATTTCAGAATGTTGGATACAGTCCCAGAATAAGAACAGTTTGTTAAACATGTTTGTTCAATATGTCACAAATAATTCATGTACAACTGATAAACCTTTCTTCACAATTCAAAAATCTTTGTCATTAATGTTACAAGTTTTATGTAACTTTAACTAGCATTGGGGTTTCATCATGTGGAGCAAGTATATTTGCTGTACAAATATTTTGAATGAATATAAGTCTGGACTACATCATCATCATCTTTCATACTGCTTATCCCAATAGCCATTGGATTATTAGCAGCTGCACATGTGTAAGTTACAAAACAATTAGGGACCGATAAAGATAAACAAGGGCAAGATAAGGGCACTAAGGAACATCTATTAATAGATAACTGATTCTGTGGGTGTAAAAGAAAAAAGAAGTGTGGGTTAGTAATATCTACATATACAAGACATGTAGGGGCGGCTCAGTGCAGCAATCGACAATCCAGTTTTGAACTGAGTAAGAGACTATGCCACACCAGGCTCGAGTTTGTTCCCTAGGGGCTGACTTCCTGCAAGTTGCATTGCATGTTGAAACAGGCCTCATTATTACCCTGCTGCCCTACAGGTGTGGCTATTGGCAAAGGGACCTACTTTGCTGTGAATGCTTCTTACTCAGCCCAAGGCAGTTATTCCAGTCCTGATCCCAGTGGACACAAGAGGCTGTTCTTGGCCAAGGTGCTGACCGGACTGTCCACACCAGGGAACTCTAGCATGATCGTCCCCCCACCCAGACCAGGGGGAGGCCCACTGGACACTTATGACTCCACCAGTGGTGGTAACATTTTCTGCGTGTTTCACGATGCACAGGCATATCCAGAGTACCTGATCACATTCACTTGAGTCATGGTGTACATGGGCTCTACATCCTGGCAATGCTTAACGGTAAATTTGGGAGGACAGATACCGCTTAACAGTAAATTCACGCAGGCTGGCAACGCTTAACAGTAACTTGTCTTGTATAAGGCTTTGGAAGCAGCTTCCTTTGAATGTTTTTTGATTTTATTCATTTGCTGTCTGACAAAACTATTCTGCAGACCATGGATGCTCTGTTATAAATTTTGCAGTAATCTGCGTTCGACTACACGATACAAAGAAGTTTCAATTATGATTAACAATGAATTCAGGATAAGAAATAACGCAAAACAAGCAGTTATGTTTAAGACTTTCCAACAGCACTTAACGTTAAAGCAGCCATGCAGCTAGGATTAATGGGAATTAAAGTAGCTTGCTACGCTTCACGGAAAATGGCAAATTACCAAGTTGGAACTTATGACAAGGATAATGATTTAATCAGTATTTAGTATCATGGCTTTTAATTGTATCATGTTAAAATGATATCCCAGAAAATGAGGCCAAAGAAAATGTATGTTAAAAAAAGGCAAGACCGCGAGCTAATAAACAGAGCTTAGCACATTTGTTGTAACCTCCTTTAACCTTTGTCTGTCAGGTGACTTTCATCTGCCACTTAAACCAAAAACAAAAAACAAAAAAAACATTTTATGTAAAGAGATCTCTGATGCAACACCTAAGGTATGCACACTTTAGATATGCAGAGTGCACACCTGAGGTAATTTCCATTAAAATATCTGTAAATGTGCACAGTCACAGTTTCTCAGACAAGTCTACTGGTGGATAAAGGTTAGTGCAAGTTGCAATCTTTTTTTAAGATTTTACATATTTTTAAGATGAAAACATTCCTGTAAATCAGATCTTCTAATGGATATGTTATACAAATTTCTTATTAACTTTTTTAAAGTATATTCTGAAATGTGCCTTGGTTTTGAATGTCCAATGTACTTTGCTACTACTGAAACTACAAATGACAAGAAGATCTTGAAGATGTACATGTATGTATTACTACGTAAGTTTATAGAGTCACATATTTTACATCTAAGATAAATAGTTTGTCTTGAGATTTATGTGAATGTAAACAGCCTCATTGTGAAGGGCTTAAGACATAAAGTGTAACAAGATTTTTCCCCTAAAAGTACTGCTGGCAAACAAGAAAAGTTAACCTAAAATACATATTGTACTTGGTACATGGTAAGATGACACCAAGTGTTCCATGATACATGTTTCTGCATACATGTACTATTTCTGTACTACATGTATTTGCATGCAGTTAGCCATTCCACATGATTGATTACAATTAAGCATGACTATCATGAGAAATTCCAACCAATAAAGGTCAATAAAGCTCTGGATTAACTGACGATTTTTGGATTCCAAACTTCCATGATGGCCAAATATTATGACAAACATTTTATCATACATCCATCCTACTTCTGTATAATTCATCATTCAAAATTTAACTGAATGTGAAGAATTGTCTTGTATTTTAAAGAGCAGCATTTTACAAACCTGTTGCTCCTAGCAACCAAAGTCTCATTTCCTATCAATTATACTGGATTTTCTGAAAACACTATTTTAGATACAGTCTAATGAAACTTCACTGACCTATTCTTTACAATTACATGGGTTTTCAGTATAGTGAAGTTGATAAATTTGTAAATGTGTTAACTACTTGATGCCTTTGGCAGCTAACTCCTCTGTCACCCTTCTCAGGTAGTCAGGGTCAGGATAGCCATGCCTGTATGAAAAAGAAGTACATGTAATTAATAATCACCTACCAATGTCAAAATAGCAGTCAAGGCTGAACCTTGCTGTGTCTTTACCGGTAGTATCTGAATAGACTTAGGGCTTTGAAAAAAACATGTTAAAAACATCTTTCAGTCTAGGTAAATTTTGACCCATTGCTACATTGCATGGACTTACATGTATTTCAGAGAACACCTTTCATACATTCAATGTATTGTAACATTATTCAAAATACAATTCACACTGACTGTTAACTGATAAAAAGGTGATGTACACATACATGCTCGGTCCTCCATATGTGCAGGTCTTGTGATGAATGTTGTTCCAGACCACAGTGTCACTTTGTCCTGTTGTTGCGGATGTCCCAATGGTGAAGGTCAGCCTCTGGTTGAAAGCCTTTTCCAGCAGACCCAACACTTTTATGCCATCAGCATTATATGGAAGGTACGCTTTGCGAGTTCTTCCTGTGTAAGGCTTGCCTGGGTTGGGATGCTCCGGCTGGAAAATGAGGGGGGAAAAGTTCAATTATAACATTTTGATTAATCATTGTTATTTTGGTAGCTGTTATGGTCTTTTGCACAAGGGCACCAGCAAAAAGTAATTACATAATGCACTTTTTAATGGGAAAAGTAAGTGAAATGTTAGTTTTCCTAGTACTCAACCTTACAATAGGTTCACTGTTCATTCTTATTGTATTGACACATACATTTTGACAAAGAATATGTCTCACCTACCCCTTGTATTCCATCTCTAAAGACATAGTCAATGATGATGGCTCCAGATAATTTATAGCCTTCAAGCTTCATTTTTTTGTTGTAGGCAATTGTCATCCTCCCTTTTGGCTGGTTGCCTGTCAGTTTCCCCACAACAGCACTGCAGACTGGACAGCAAGATTTTTTCTTCATTGCCTTGTCCAGACACTTCTTGCAGAATACAGCCTCACAGCCTTGGTCTTTGCAGGGAAGAGACGTTGGCATTGTTGGTACTGACAGGCAAATAGGGCATGTGGAATCGTCGTTCTTTCCGGCATTTGGCTGTCCTGATTTTCTGCTTTTGGTAGCAGTTGCTTTGATGTTGTTGCCTTCCCCTCTTGAACCTCTAGAAACAGGAATGCCCAGTAAACTGCAGAAGTTTACTCTTGCTGCCCTTATCTTCTCTGGTTCTCCGATGAACATCACTGTTGTGTCATCATCAGTTATCTTTGTCAAAACTTCTGGGTGGAGGTGCCGCATTTTCCTCACTCCCTCCAAGAGAAATGTTGGTGCAAGGCTGTACTGGATGATATTGAAGTTCTCACATGTTATCTTGCTGAAGACTTGCTGGTAGAGTGTTGTAAATTCATCAATGGCCTTCTCTGGTTCAGGATCTTTTCCCAAAGAAGGTGATGGGGAAAAGCAGGCTTGTGTGTTGTCCTTGCTTGTATGAAACAGAGACTTGTACCTTTTGCCAATATCTCTTATCTCTGCATGATGCTTATGCCGAATGTAAATTAGAATATCTGGATCAACAAACACTTCAAATGGAGAATTCTGTTCTTGCTCTAATCCAGAACTGCTAGCACCATCTTCAGCACTAGGCCCCTTGTGTTCAGGCTTGTTCTGCTTGTCCTTCTTCAGGTCATCATTGCTATCATCATCAGATAGGACTGATGCTGTAAATGTAATCAAATATCATATGATAATAAAAAGCTACACATAGCTTCCTTCCTTATGCAGTTAGCAAACCAACAACAGCAATAAAAAACAACAACGATTTCATACGTTTGCCAAATAATGTCAACCTTTATGACTAATGTCAACTGCATGCCTCATTGACTATGTAAATAAGATCCTCATACATAATAATGCCAAAAAAACATAACCTTCATGGCGAAGGTAAAAACAAAAGTGTCAAAAATAAAACGTTACATATCAGACAACTGAAGATACAAACAACTGCAGTTGAAGAGATAATTGCTAGGGGCTTTTCGGTTCTTTATTAGAAGTTCATGCACTGTTTTTGTCACAATAGGACGTTACATTTTCACATAAACTGAGTGTATTGGTGTATGATACAACCACACACCTATGAACTTACATGTATTAGAAGGTCTGCAAGAAATTTAACATACACTCAACTGATCCTTGTAAGGTGGTCTTTTCCTGCTTTAAACTTTTAGCGCCATTCTGAGCCATGGTGGTCAAGTTTACATGTATGTTACAGGATTAAAATGCCTTCAGTTACTACTTACCATGTATCTTTCTGCTTACATTTCCCGACACACTGGGCCCAGATGCTCCCGGACGAAGTCCTGTCCTCGAGTCGGTCCGACATTGCGGTACACGTTTCAGCAGAGAACTCAGTTTCCTCTCCGTAGGCTTAGGCAAGGTATATCGGGCAAATTTGGGACTGTTTGTCGTCAACTTGTGCTCCATAACGGAGTAATCAACATTAATATTTGCCAGTTCAAAGTCCACTGTGTCCGCAGGTGGTTTAGTCAAATCACTCAGTCTCGTTGTCATGTCTTGTGAGAAAGATACAACTTCGTAGTCGCCTCCCTCCCTGGCCAGAGTCTCCGCAAAGTCACATGTACTCTTGGCGCTTGCCAGACTGATCTGCGCCGCCTCTATCTCTGCATCGATCTGCTTGTTTCTGGACTTTTCCTCTGTGTCAACACAGGTTAGGAGCCGCTCGCCTTCTTCCTTGACAAGGGCGGTTATTGTCTGTACGGTTTTGTTGATGTTCTGACGAGCCCACTCTGCATTCAGCTGAAGTTGTTCTTTCAAGCGTTTCTGCACTTCTTCCGTCTGGCGAAAGAACTGCATTCGGTCCTGGCATTGTGGTGTTAGATCTAAGATTGTCTCCCTCTTCTCGACAGCCACCTCTTCTAAGCGCGCGAAGTCGTGCTGCGAGTCCCTGTGTTCAAACAGGGCACATTCGTTGCATATTGGAGTCTCGCAAGTCCTACAGTAGAGCTTCAAGATCTCTCCCGAATGCTTGGAGCACGGTGGGGCTGTCCTGGCCCTGAAGACTTTGTCGTATTTTCCCGTTTTCAGTTCCTCAAACGTGAAGAGGGTGTGGCCCTTGGTAGCTCTCACCAGACGATGTGCCGACTCACAACTCTCACAGAGAAACTCAGCGCACTCTGAACACCTGGACGTGGCCGGCTTCCCTTCATCACAGCTGGTGCAGAGAAGGTCATCTTTCCCCTGGCGAATGTTCTGATGCTCGGTCACAGCTTTCACCAGGCTAGCAAGAAAAACATTATCCTTTAGACCCTCGACGCCATCTTGGGGCAATGGGACAGGTTGTCGACAAATAGGACATGGAAAAGTGTCGCCATCGTTTTTCTGTACCCATTCTCGTAGGCAGTGCTCACAGAAGGTGTGCAGGCAGGGAAGAACCTTCGGGTTCTTAAAGGTGTAGCAGCAGATCGAACACTCGAGGGAGTCGCCGCTAACTTCGTCTGGGAAAGCTGCAGTCGCCATGATTGCTCTCGAATTTCACTTCCTGATATGACATCACCACACCTGTGACGTGCCGAAAGTTCAAACGGCAACGTCCTCTGGTGCCACCACACCGAGCTCGAGGGTTTGCAGGCGACATCAAGTTTGTTTTCGCGAGTCTCCACAAAAGACGTAACCTCCAAAGCATCGTACACTATACTTAGGTGCCAAGAAGGTTTTATACAAACTTATAAGGGACATACAGATAACTGTCAGTTAAGGTTAATAATATATGAGTCAGGTAACGTATACCACCCCCACCCCCCACCCCGTTTTAACGTTTAGTAATGAACATATACAGAGAACTTTATTGACACAACAAATGGACTTTCGTAAGGTCTAAGACTACATGTAGATATACAAAAATATACATGGGTACAACGAAATTAACCTACGTACAAAACATAAAAGGGTACAACTTCCGTCGTGTTTGATAACCCCGACATAGCTGACAAATGTTACCCTTTTTGTAACGTATATTTTTTCGTGAAGTTCCTGGACAATCATCGGCGAAAACGTACGAAAAAGGGCGTTAACGGTACATGTAGGTACAAGGATTACTATTCTGTGTAATTGTAATCTAGATATTGCCGCAGAGGAAATAGTACAGATAGTACTATTGTATATGTATTAGAGGTAAACGAGTCACAGACAGATTTAAACACTTTCTAGATTTTTAATTTTAGTTTTGCCATTGCCTGGATTTAATGTATGCATATTTTTGAGACTCGTTATCAGGCGAAATCCTTTGATTTCATTTGTCCTCGTTTTGATCGAATTTTGCTCACCAAGGACATTAATAGCTTCAGTTCCAACATGGCCTTTCAATATAGACTAAAACATATTGGATATCACCACAGTGACTGTAAGGCCACACCGATTTAATTTTATGGATGACATCCGCGCGCGCATTGATTTTCGCCCGATCTCAAAAAAAAAAAAAAAAAAAGATCACGTATTCCGAGGCTCTGGCCTGGCTTTAGGCCTGGGTAGTGCATGGTGGTGATAACTCTGGTTGACGGCAACCAGGCTACCGAAGCTCCAAGACTCAAGACT